GTGTATTTCATACTTACTCATTAGTTCCCTGCTGTGCATGATCCATGGCGTATGGAATAAATTTAACCCAAGAAAAAAAATCAGCATTAAAGCAAGGAAGGAAGACTCTACAAGGTTTTTCATGTCAATGAGTTCTCTGTAAGGATATGAAGGAGAAAGGGGAAGGGAGAAACTGGAATGGGTTAGCATAAGCCCATTTGCAGTTGTGATTGACGGGAACTGCCATCCACACACAAAACCATAACAGCCATCTGAATCTGATCAATAAAGCCTCCTCCAGAAGCCATATAAGCAAGATTACTTCCTTTCATCAATCTCAGAAGCACAACCAGCTGCTTGCTGCATGACTTCCACAAAGGGTCTTCCCAACCCTGTGCAAAGCTTGCCCTACAGTAGTAGTTCCCAAACCTTCTTTTACTCACACTGAACCTTCCAGCATCCAGTGGTACGCATACCACAGTTTGGGAATTGCTGCCTTATGGTGATCATTTGTTATCACAATGATGATGTACCATGTTTCCATCCAGTTTGAAATAGGTATGAAGAGAGATTTGTCCCAAATTACTTTAGAGATAAATTATTGCAGGATTACTGATTACCAAGGAATGAGGAAAAGGAGGAACAGTGGGGAGAAGACATAATCCATGAGAAATCCATGATTACCTGGTTTATGGTGGAAGGACTATTTTTTCATATTCCTGCTTTGCCTGACCCAAACATAAAAGAGAAATGTGATTCCAATCTATATTTTTTCCAAAATACTGACAGGCACCTAAATTTTACTTGCATCTCTTGATCATTAGTTCCTTTAATGCCTGCTCTTCATCACCTTTTCTCAAGGGAAGGGAGCTACCATTTTGGGTTATTTAAACACATATTATATAGTCATCATGTGCATAATGTTTTATGCTTTGAGCCACATCTTATGCACCAAGTAAGGTAATTGTACAACTTACAAATGTGAGGTAGAACAGAAGGTTTGAAGGTTCACATACTTATAGGAAATCATCAGCAATAAGATGACATTTTTCATTTATCTCTGTTCAACACACAACATATGAGGAACAGATTCTATGAACATGCTCTGATGCTGAAACTCTATGCAAATCCAATAACTTAATTTATATCTCTTCCCTCCCTGTAAATTCATCTAACCTCAGGAAGCCTCAAACCCTTGTAATCCTAGCTCCATAGGGCGACAAAATTCCATCAGAATGGTTATGCTTCCAGGTGATCAGCTGGTCAGGCTCAACCTTCACCACCTGGGTTCTTTTATGCCCTATGCATAGAGACGGGAATGGGAAATCATCTGCCACTACTGGCTTTGGCCCAACTCGAATTTTGAATATTTCTGAGCATAGTCAGGATTCATAAGCTGAGTAATAAATGACAAGCATTGAAAACAGCCTCTTCCACTCTGAGAAAGAGTTAAGAGACTTCAATCATTTTATCATTCAAGAAAAAGATCAAGGTTTGGGACAGAAATCCTGGAGCTACTTCTGCTTCTTTTAACACCCCAAGTTAAAGTCAAGCCCTCACCCTAACTTAGTGATTTCCCCCTGGAACTCAATGAAATTCAGCTCAGCAATACTTCCCACAAAATACAAATTTAACAAATTCATGCTATATTTTAAATTTATGTGAAAATTTGCAGTGAGCACTGATACTAAGCAGAACATCACCACACTGCCACAGCTTTCTTTGGGGATAGAAAACTTTGAAGATGTTCTGTCTGTAAATTCCATCCTAATCAAGAATGAAAGTAAGAGAAGCAGCCTCAGTCATAAACACAAAAAGTCATTATGCATATGTTTTCCCTCTACACTTAGGAGCACCATTGATAAGTGCAAACATAACAGTCTGGTCTGGGTTGCAAAGAAGCCTCTTCACATTTACAAGGAACTTGGAAGCCTAGTTCCTTCACAGGAAAATCTAATAGCAATATGATGGACAATTGTTGGTATAAGTTCCTCCATGAACACAATAAGGTATGGAGATATAAATGAGCGGGATACTCTTTACTACTAAGTTTGAAAGCTTTCCAGCTTTCATCGCAGAAGCCAAGTTTCAATGACATGATCAAATTATCATATTTCTGAGAATAGTAACAAGACCCAATATACAAAATAAGCTGAAGTTCAGGGGTTAAATGCTGGCAAATTAACATTATGCTAAAATAGGGGGACCTGATTTTCTTCTGGAAAAAACGGGACATTTTCAAGAGAATGCCCAAATGTTAGTCCTACAATGGGAAAAAAATGGGACACCAGGATGGAAAGGAAAATTCAAGCAGGAAATAGCCTGAAAAACCAGGATTGTCCTAGTAAAACTGGGATATTTGGTCATCCTATGCCACAGTACCAAATCATACGAAAAATGAAAGATTGATAGCCAAGATGCACCCTAGCCAGTAATCAATGTGAGTGTATACTCCATCACTTGGGAGTATGATGGACTTTCCAGGTACCTATAGACTTAGTTGCATGCCACAGAGTCAGGCTAATGAATGAAACAACTCTGGGCTATAAAGAATGGAGATTTCATCAAAGGCCCATTTCACAATAGGCCTGAGGCATGAAGTCAATTCCAAATGAAATGAACCTTCAAGTCAAACATAGGACTAAGACTCAAGTCACAGAAATACTGTTTTACTTGTTGGAAAGTAAATGCACTGAATGCATTAGTTGAACATACAGTGGCTGCTGTTCCCACTGACATTTTTAATGAGGTTAGATGCATTTGTGGGCAAAGCAAAAACAGGGCTAGTATGATTCTAGTTAGACAGTACATTAGAGAACCATGCTCCCACATGAAACATTTATATTTTAGATGGGTAGGCCTATCTTATATGGGCACTCAATCTCACCTTGGGATGTCAAATTCCGAGAATGCATCCTGATATCCCCAATCAAACCCACAATAGGTTTATGAGGATTAAGAGCAACCATGAGGTATCTGTAGTAAAGGTGATGGTGGCTTATGGCAAGGCAGCATTCTGAATTCAGTGAAGTTGCTCCCAATAGTTCCATGGTATGTAGTTCATGGAATGAATTTGTACTTTCCCCCCCCCCTCCAAGTAGCGAAGAATGCAGAAGCACTACATCCAGAGGATCTGCTTCATCAGATAATCCAAAAAACCACCCTTGCAGGTGTCACTACTTGCAATTGATGGAAGTGCTCATATTGAGGGATTCAAATTCAAGCCAAAAATTGTGTAACTGATCTGTTTCACCATCATACACACTCATTAGCTGGCTCAACTCATTCTCTATTACATGATTTTACAGCAAAATTACTGATTCCCTTCTCTGGTCCATTCCTGTTCATCCTTCATCCTTGTTAGCCTACTTTTATGAATGTCCAATTCATATAGAGCAGTGACAACACCATGCAATACACAGACTTTTAAATAAAGTAACAGTACAGAATCATTAACCCTGTCACAAACCAACAATCCTAGCAAGGGCAGGTGTAAGACTTGAGGCCTGCTCAGTTGTTTAGGAACCTGCATGTACAAAAGAAAAACATCCTGAATAAAACTTCATGGGGCCTATGGGATTTTGAAGAAATTCTTGCTGTGCAATGCTTCTTCCTTATACTTTCATGTACAAGAAGGTAAGATGCAGAGGGACATGGAAAAAATCCTATAGGAGTCAATGCAGTAGGGTTGTTCTGACACCAACCTAAGTGTTTTTAAAATGCAGCTCACTCAGGAACTTACCAATCCCTTTTCATGCTGCCTCCTGATTCTTGGCCTTTTTACAAGTTCCATGGATGATGGAACTGTAAATACAGTCATACTGGACTGAATGAAACACCAGAAACACAGTGTGCCTGCAGTTGCTCAGTGAATACAGGGTATGGGTCATTTCAATGGGTGAAAAGAAAATTTAATATGGCACCTGGTGTGACAAGGGCTGAGAGTGAAAATCATCCCATGGGTAATTTGCATGACATAAAATTAGTGAAATCTAGCTCCTAGAAGATGAATGATAAAGATAAACTAAAGAGCTTTTATAATGTTTTTCACTTGGGTCAAACAATTTTTCAATAGACTTTGACACAAATGCATGTTTTGTTCCCAGTATGCTCATGCCTGAGTCAAGTGAAAAATACTGTAGCACCACCTAGGGAGGGTTTACATATACAAAAGAAATTTAAAATGGAACTGCCACCCAATGCTTTTGCACCCACATATATATGTAAATTCAAAAGGAACTCCATTTCATAAATGTACTCTCGTGAGCATTCCATGGCTTCATGGAAACGGGCTCTCACAAGTCACTTTCATGCAAATATATTTAGATGTGTAAACCTACCTTTAGACAAATCACTGCTAATGCATATGGAACCAAATCAAAACCAACAGCACAATGTTACCTCCTTGCACAGGCAAGATTTTGAATATTGCATGCATAATAAAAGAGGGTACTGACTGATTATTGCCTATACTCACAATAAAGAAGCAATTAGATTTCAGCAATTATGTCAGATTTTCACACATTGCACCTTGATCCTATTTAAAATTGCCTATCTATTCTCAGCTAACTACCCTGTTTCTCCTGTATTCTCCCTGTTTGCTTCTGAAGCTACTTCACTTCTTCCTTCTACAATCATGAATTTTCTCTCTCTCTCTCTCTCTCTCTCTCCCCCTCTCTCTCTTTGCTCAGGCTTAAATAAAACCCAAGGGTTGGAACTCTGAAGGAGGCTTACTTCAGGTCCCAATTCCAATGAATCACAATTCTCATTTGCTATGATGAGACTTGAGAAAACTTATAAACTGCAGAACACAATCAACCAGATTCTTGTAATCAGTGCAAAGCACCCAAATGTGAGGTCTATGAATCTCAGGATGCTAACAGGAATTACATTTTTTTTATATATATGCAAATGCTTCAAATTCAAGAAGGAAGCAGATAAAAAGGACTGGGAGAAGCTTATAACAGGTTCAACTACAGGCCATCTTGTACATACACCAGAGTAAAAGGAGGAAAACTAACCTTGTCATCATCAAATCCAGCATCTTCCCCCCTTTGCTGCCCCAACAGTCGATCTGTTTCCTGATCTGTATCCAGGTCTTCTGCAAGAAAATCACACTTGTAGTTTAAATATTTCAATGCACACCCATGGTCCACCATGCTCAACACAATCAAAACTCTACTCATTTACACTATTTTTGGATTGAATTTGTATTGGAAGTAATTCCATCCATTGCAGGTAGTGACAGTTTTCAAAGGGGTGGTATTTTGGATCCCCTGGAAGTAGTACTATCTCTGTTCTCCACTTCCCAGGAGGGGGTACAAACTCAAATTGAAAAAGTGTTCTTGAGAGCTTGTCTATATTTAGCTGCCATTCTCACATGGCCTCTATCAGGCTTCAGTGATCCAGCTTGTGACAGTGATAACTGGTAGGATAGTATCTTTGTATATTTAGCACTGTGAAAATAAAGGCTTCGATGAGCAATACACATGATTTGGATAACTTTAACCCTTTCTAGTCCACTGGCAGACATAGTCCAACAATCTCCAAAATGTTACAAGTAAAATGGACCGGAAAGGGTTAAAATCACACACACAGATATCTGCACTAAATGAATTCAAAGATACCCAATTTCTTATAATTTTGTTATATATTCTTCAGCAGTCCAGTTTCAACTGATCAGTAGCACAATCACAAGTAGTAGTAAATATCAGTAGCACAATCAGTGGAAAAAAAATAAGTGAAATTGTTTGAGAATGGAAACTGAAAAATAAAAATATGTAGCAATTCAGCTAGGGAAATAAATCAGTTTAAGCCTTCTTAAATGAGGGGGAGAAGGTTCTATACCAATTGAAGTGAAGAAAAATATGAATGTAATCATATAATATGCTGATGCATTTGTATACAACTTAATACCTGTGAAGTGTCTAAAAAGTTTTAAAATCTTGTTGAATATGTAAATAACTTGGCAAACCAGGGTGCTAGGAGATAACTTAGATCCCAAAAGGGAAGGAGAAGAAGATGTATTAATTCAGAGAGATGAAATGAAGTGGAAAGTCATCAGTGCCATGTGCAGCCACAAGGCATTCATTCAAGTGCTCTAGTCCCCCATTCCTCACCTGCTAACCTCCCTTCATCTTCCCACAAGAGGGAAAATCATATTGAAATCTTCTCCCTCATAAGTCAGAAGGACAGATATTGGAAGAATGAGGAAAATAATACTAGAGACATTGAATTATAATAATAAAAAAGCCTCCATGACAAATTAAGGCACTTCATTGATTCCTGCTTCTTTACATTCATTAATTATTCATGTGAGGGATGGGGTCCTGTAATTATAACTCAGCCAGAAAGCTTTCCTCCTTCACTTTCCTTGCCAGTTCAGAGAAGGGTATCCCATTCAAGAAGCTCACACTCAGAATGCTAAATGGGGACCTCCATCCTTGAATGTCAATGAAGGCATTCACAAACACCCTGGTGTCATCTATGGAAATGTCATCATTCAGCTTCACTCAATAATGCCTCATTTTTGTTTGCATAGGATGAATCAAAGGCTAGCCTTCACTTAATCTGGCATACTTCCATCTGATTTGATGCATGAATAGTTGAATTTCTGACCAGAAGGTATATCTTCATGAGAGCTGGCATACAATTATCTGAACTTGTGAGATATGGGGAACACAGTACATTCATTACTAATATACAGGAAATGTATAGGAAAACCACCTACATACTATTTCTTTTTCATTACAGGCAGGACCATTGACAGTTTTGTATTTTGTGGAGTTCAAGAAATCATTCTCAGCAATAAAAATTGATAATTAAAAAAAATCATGCATGTCAAAAGATTTCTGCTGCAAGGAACATCAAATTATTACCAAATCCACTTATTTTGAGCAGGCCTACTGATACCAAGTGCATGGCAAAAACTCATTTATACTCAAAGGCTTAATTTGAAAACTAACCGATGATATGGAACATTTTCTTGAGCATATTCCCATTTAATGAATATTTTTCTCAATCATGAATTTGGTCTTTTCAGCTCATCAACTGCACAATGCAAAATGAGACCAATCAAATCTGATGCGTGCTACACTGTTTCCAGATTGAATTCGTACCCCCTATACTTCCATCATTTGCAGGTAGTGACATCTTACGCATGGGTGGTTTTGTCTATCGCCTGCTGAGGCGAAACCTCTGGAAATGTGTGTTTCCTTCATTCACCACTATAGGGGGATGGCACGAATTCAATCCAGAAACAGTGTAATAGGAATAGTAGGCTACCTGTAAAACTAGTCTAGACTAACTCTGGCATAGGGGCCTCCATGCTTTTGCAGCATATGGCAAAAAATATGCCTCTGACTTTTAATTAGCCATTCTTACAAAAATTTTACTTAGCCAAAACTGAAATGTTCTAAACAACCCTTAGAAATTTCATGCAAATTCATTTTGTTTCAGCATACAGTTATTGAATAAATATGAAATTGAAAATGGATAGGGGACTCCAGCCCCTGTAGAATTCTATACTTTGCATATGCACCCACAGCACAAAGCCTCTTCCTACTTTATACTCCCAGCAGGAACCCCTGTCCAATTACAAAATTCAAATAATTAGGAAATATTTCTTATCCTAACATGATGAATTTTAATTAAGTTTCACAAGACTTATACTAACATATCTGCCTATACATGATGCAAGTTTTTAACAGCAGTAGTATGGGCTGAGATTTTTTGCATAAGATAAGGGATCCTTGTTCCCATACCCTGTATAAGTCTTAACTACAATTAATTTGTCAAAAAAAAATTTTTTTCCCAAGTTTAGAAGGCTACATTATCATTGATCAAAGAAAAACTTGAATGAAAGAAACAAAATGGAGGTAAACAGCAGAAATTCATAGTTGAGACCCTGTAACTCTCTACTAGACCTTACTGTAAGCTTATAACATCATCCTTTTGCTCAACTGATGCTCAATTGGGCACATAAACAGAAAATATCAAAATTACTATTTTTTTCTTTCAATCATAAATTCATCCAAAAGACACTTGCTCTGAAGGATATCCAGGTATTGTCAACTCAATTTTTACCATGACAACCAAATGGTTGTCTAATTATGTCTGATTGTCTGTCATGAAAATAAATCCTAGAATTAGATGCTGATTTGCATATGGGATGACAAATATTTCTATGCAAAAGGAAAGGCCAGAAAGTAATTTGATACTGAAAGGCTTGAACATCTTTTTAAAGATAGAAAAATATTAGTGACATTAATGGGAAACACTCCTACACCTTCAAGTTCCAAAGTTATTATGAATATTATTTGCACATTACATACCTAAAAGAAGAAACACAGACCAAAAAGTACCATGAGTATATCCTTTCCAAATAATCATGAGATACAGATGCACACCTCCAGGGAAAATCAATTTTTCTACCCATTCTCCTACCCTTTCTCCTACCATTTCTCCCAAGATGGTTTATTAAGAAGAAACTTGCATCACACAACAGCATACTCTACCTACTTTACATGCCACTGGTGTTTGTATTCAATATACAAATCTACTTAGCATGTCAAGAAAGTTATTTCTATAGCATATCCAAGAAGGTGAGGGTAAATCTCCCAAGACAGAAATTACTTTAGCCCTATGCAGTGCATATCAAAGATGGTACAAATTCATTTGCATATTGCTGCATGGGACTTTTTCAAGGAAAGGTGAAAAGGATAGTAATTTTTATGGATATTTCAGAGACCCATTGGGTTCCACTGATATAGAAGCAACTGATTCAAGAAATACTTTACAAGTCCCATATATGCAGCACCCATATGTAAAGCACAACTTTAAAAACCAGTTTGGGAGGGCTTCAAGCACTTGGGCTGATATTTTACTGAAATGTTGAAGATTGCTTTATGGATGAATGGAAATAGAATACAGCAGGTTCTTCAATGGTGCTTATTTCATTGCACTCTGAAAATTAGTGGAATAGAAACAGAAATTAATGAATCAGTTCCTTTTGTCAGCAGCAGCCAACAAAAAATTAGTGAAGTTACACTGTGGATATCAGAGTATGTAGGAAACCACAGAAAATGCAAGCCTTACCATCATCAGGTGAATCTTTCTTCAAGGCATCTCCCTCATCATCCTCACCTCCCATTCTGAAAAGAGAAAAGAAGATTTGTACTTGCTACAGACAATGTTAGAAAGTCCCTAATGATGAACATGAAGGGACTCAATGTCCTTGCCACACATGATGCGGGAGGGAAAAGACTCAATATTGACTCAGTCTTCAATCTATTCTTTGTTTGCATTCTCTGCAACATGATCTCTGTAACATGTGATCTCATTTGATGGGCAGATAGGTCATGAACATTATTATGGAGGGTGCCCTGGGAAATTTAAAAGAATGAATCCTTGTCTTGAAAATACTTCCTTGTGGCTCATAACCATTAATAAGTGAATAATTTTTTTAAATTATACTGGAGCAAACTTGGACAATACAACTATTTACACTTTCAGCCCTGTACCCCACTTATGATGTCCTGTGCCCAAAGCACACCCTAATCACCAGTCAAAAGTTTTAAAAATGAAAGAATTTTGATCATGTGTCAGAAACCCTCTAGTTCTTAAAATATAAATGGTAAGCATTTAACATGCCACAGTTTGAAAACATGGCTGTTTTTAGGAGAAATCCACTCATGCAAAAAGGAGTAAATTTTAATAACACTTGTCTTTTGATACCATGTAGAATTATCCTCAATTAAAGTCAAGCAGGGTCCTGATTAGTCACAATTGGCTAATATGCCACCAGAGGGCCTGCCTTAAAGCACCTAGATGCTGTCCTGCTATTTGTGTTCAATATGAAAAATAAGCCTGAGCTAGGAGGATGAAAAGCCTCTACTTTCATTCCTCAACCATTTGCTAAAACTTGAGCACCTCCAGCTATGAGCACCAGTGGCAGCTTGTGGGTAAAAAAATTGGGTAGGCAGCAGTGGTGCAAAAAAAAAAGTGGGCGGGGGGGGGGGGGGGGGGGGGGGGGCCCCCCCCCCCCCCCCNGTGCAAAAAAAAGTGGGGGGGGGGGGGGGGGGAGGGCAGTCACCCCCCCCAATGATTCCTTTGCACCCATATGCAGGGCTGCCCAGAGGGGGGGGGACAATTGGGGCCATCTGCCCAGCCCCCACATATCAAGGGGTCCCAAGGGGGTCCTCCAAAGGGCCTCAAGGGGTCACTGGTTTAGTTTTGCCCCAGGCCTCTGGAAACCTCTGGGTGGCCCTGCCCATATGATGCCCATTTCTATCCCTATTGACCAATGGAGCATCCTCCTATGATAGTAGCTGGCATATTCGCTCCTCTCTCAACCTCGCTCAGCAACCCCCCACCCACTGCTCTCCAGTCTCTTCTGAGGGTCCCCTCACCCCTTGACTACAGGCTTGACATAAGCTTAGGATTTTTGCATTAAAAAATGGTAAACCCAATTCTAACATAACCAGAACTATCCATCAAGAAAATTACTTGTATCTAAAAGGAAAAGTGATGAAGATTTAAACCTTCAATGAATGCAACTATATCATTGGAAGACACCCCAGGGATGCGAAGCACTGTCAGTCTAACAACACATATCTCTTGGAAATAGTGCCTCTTCCAGAGAGAGCAACGAATGCAGGGTAGGAATAGGAAACTGAGACTAACAGAAGTATAGGCAGCAATTCATAGGGGCTCAGGGGGCTCGAGCCCCCTGAAAAATTTGGCAGAAGAATAAGAAGGAATACTTGGAGTACTGCCTCTGAGCCCCCCCAAATTTCTCAACAAATCGCCACCTATGGACAGAAGCCTGTTCAGGATGATTCCTTATTCAATCAGCATAATACTGTAGAATAGGTCTGATCAGATGTAGCAACCAGAGTTTTCTACAAGCACGTGCTTCCGAGCAGAGGGTGTGAGCAAGCAATTCTCAACCTTCCTTCCTGCGCAAGGAGTAACTGCGCACCGTAAGCAAGCCTACCCTCACTCGTTCCAGTGTTGTGGTTCTCTTCCCTTTCTCCCTCCTCTCGTTCCTGCATTGGACTTGCGGGAGTTTGAGCCTAGCAAGCGTAAGCAGGCAGCGCTGTGCCTACTCTGGATGCATAATCTCGTTTTGCTTTTACCTCGCAATGGAAAAAAAAAGTATTTACAGCTGTGCTAATCAAATAATTAATTAACAAATATTAATTTGAGAACTCTGATTTTAAACTGGGTAGGCACAGCCTACCCTGCCTACCCTGACGAGCTGCCACTGATGAGCACAATGCAGAAATTCATAAATGACTCTGTTTTACTATTCATGCACAACTGCTATCATAACAGGTGTAACATCCATCCTCCAAGGTTAGACTTAGTCCTTGCTAAATAATATTTGATACATAAATCTGTTTTGCAACATCCTCAGATTCATCACAACATGCACATGAACCACTGAAGGTGGAATAAATTCATTTTAATGTCAGCCACACAAGTGAGATCAAAGTCAAGAACTTTCTGCTATGTCTGAATCTGAACACTCAAGTATCCATCCAGGAATAAATCCAATGCCTATGAAAATATGCTACCAGTACACTTCCTGAGATTTTACAGAGCTCAATACTATGACAAGCCTATAGTCAGTGACTGTTCCTTTTTTTTGTTATATGACCAAGGATGAGAAAACATACCTTGGAATCCAGACAGGATCATCTTCATCCTCTTGATGAGTAGGAGAATGATGAAGAGGGTGGACCTGCTTCATGGCATCCTTGATATCCCTCAAGACAGACTCAATAGCCTGATTACCTCGATGAGGGTGTGGAGCAGGAGGAGGCACCTGCACTGCTGTTCCCAGGATCCCTTGGTACATAGGGGCAATTCTTGGACCTGCAGAGAATTCATATCCCATTCAATATCATGGTACTACTTCCAACAAATGAAGCTACATCAGCTTGGGACTAAGACATGTGTTTCATCCTCTCAGAGGCCCCTTTTTTTTTTAGCTGTATTATTTTTCACTTCTACTTTTGTCCTCAGTGTCAAATTCTGATTCTGAATTCCCAGAAGCATCATTTGAATGTCATAGAAAAGTTATTCTTCACTGCCCCTTCCATCTTACAAATCTGAAAAACTACAGCATTTTTCCAAAATCAAAGCTGAAATCACAATAGAAGATACCATGTTTTGGTTCACCTAAAAAATAAACCCACTTCTAACTGTTTGCACCATTACATCCTGCCCCAAATACAGCTGGCATCACATTGCAGCAAGACCTCCAGTTCTCTTTCTCTAAATATGTCCATAAATGGCAGTACCACTCAGGAAAAATGTAACAAGCTTCTTCCATGTACTGAATTCAACTGAGCCCACTGCAATTGCACTGTTCCCTAGTGCTAATGAGCTGACCTCAAACAAGCCAAAAATAGTATGAGCAGCCTGCCTGAGATGACCTTAGGCATGCTACTAAAAGGGTTAAACTCCTGCTACGGTGCTCAAAATCATCTAATGGCAAGAAATTAAAATATTTACCCAAAGACAGGAAGAAATGCATATGTTCCAATATGGCATAACATTTTGTGCAAGTGGCTCAGCATTAGTTTTAATGCAGAGAGGTGTAATATGCACAACTTGAAAACCCTATGGATATGGGCTGTGTACATTCTGGATACTTAATGTCTCTCAGGAAAGGCAAATCAGACAAAACTATTAGGGGCTTAGAGAATGTTCCTCCCTATTGGCCATTTCAATCTCAACTCAGCTGCTAGTGCCATTGCTGTAAACTGTTCAATACCAGAAAAGTCTTTAGCAAAAATGGCATTTAGAAGTCTAACAGGACATGAAAACTTTCAAGAAATAAAAATTTTCAAGGACAGAAGAATGAGGAGGCACCTTTCAAGCATGACATCAATCAGAATTTCATAATGCAGTTTTGCAATAGGCCTATCAGAGAACTTCAGGAGCAGACTTGGCCTGCCATTTCCATTCAAACGCAGAATGCAAAATATTAATGACAATTAGCTCATATATACCCTTCCCATTACACCTAACCTGCCTACCTCCCTGAGATTTTCTTTCTTGATGGAGTAAGAGTGACAGTATGATGGATGGAGTAGACCCATTAACCTGATCGATTAGTTCTGTTTAACTCCAAGCAGAGTGATTCTTCATTAACAGGACACATTGCAAGTCTCTAAAATGTCATAGTTTTTCATTATCTTGAACTCAACAAAGATCATTTTAAATAAATAAATAAATTTTTTAAAGCAAGAAAATCAAAACTTTTTACCATCCTTTGAGAAATTAGACATAACAGATTATCTGAAACTGCTAAAAAGAGAGTGGAGAAAAATTCCAATTCACATGGCCCATAAACTGAAATATACATTTTTTTATATTCATGAAATTGAAATTACAATCTGGAATAAAAAAAATATTGCAATAAATATAAATGACAATAAACCCACAACAACCAATGGGTCTTTGAAAACTGAGACATTAAGGTAAATTTCTCCTACTTGTGTAAAATAAATTTTTTTCATCCTGTATGTTTATTTTTATTTCCAAGTTTATGGTATAAAAAACTTCACACACATTAAATTTTAAAGGAAGCATGAATTTTCAAATGCATCCAACTACTTAAGAATCACTCTGCATTAGGATCTTATCTCCTTCACTTTAAGCCTACCAGATAAAGGAAGGATACTCCCAAAATACAATCCTACCTAAAGGATCCAGGTCCATGGCTTCCATTTCAGTATCATCATCATCATATGAGGTTTGGCTGCATCCTCGGGCCTGCTTGGCCTCTTGTTCCAAGGCTGTAACCTGCTTCCGAATGGCCAGCCGGGTTGGAGATTCTTCCAGGGGGTTCCCAGGCTCCTCATCTGATGCATGACCTGACGACAGCCCATCTGCCAGGATTGGCATCCCAATCCCAATCTTACTCCCCGATTGCATTGACCCACATTCATAGCTCAATTCACTGTCCAGTTCACTGGGATCACATTCTGTTGTGTCCGGTGATAAGGTGAAGTTCCTACTCTGGTCCACCTGCAAGGAAGAGGGGGGAAAATGGACAGGAGATCACTCACTGAAAATTGGGTAAAGGTAGTTACCTCACTTGAGTTTAACAACATGATCTACGAGTTAACTCTAACACCATGCATAGGAAATTGTACATGCCTCTCTCATGTAAGATAGTTTCAAGTTTGAATATTACATGGTCAAAGCCAGGTGAAACTGTTTTCCAGACCAAGTAATTTCAAATGCAGCAGCTGGTATATATTAATGCACACTTTTCTGCTTCGAAAATAAATAGATTTTGTAAAAGGGTGTTAACGATAGCTGATGTAATCATTCAACATGAGGGAATGATGCCCAAAATTAATAACTTAATTTGATATCATCTATACCAACATGTAACGAAATCATCATATTAAATCTTAAAAAATTACCAGTCATTTAGAAGCTGGCTTCCAATAACTTACCTGAAGTCCCACTTCAGTTTCTCCAAGGTCCTCAGACGTGGTTTCTTGGTCCATGGAAGTGGAAGACAAGGAGGAATTGGGCCTCAAGGGATCACTCGCCGCCAGAGTGTTGGAACTTGAGGACTCTCCCCCATTGAGGACTTTCCGCTGTTTCCTCGGGGAGACACCCTCATTCCGCCTCAATTGATATTCCAATTCCACGAAATTGGAAGAGGAGGCGGAAGAGCGGCCGAAGAACTCGTCGAGGACTTTCCTTGTCTCGCTGAACTCGTACAGGAGCTCATTGTCCTTTGATAATCCCTCGAGCGATAACAAGCTCCCACTGATATGTGTAGCGTTATCGGGATCCTGGTTGACCCTGCGAGGGAAGCCCGGCTTGCAGTTGGTCAAGGGTGTCAGCGTGGGGCCAGGCAATAAGGCATGAGTCGGGGAGTTGTCTAAAAGGGACCCGGCATCCCGCCCCCCCTGAACCTGAACCTGCCCTTGCCGTCCGTATTTTCGCGGAGACCCTTCGTACTCCGCTATGGGAACGTTCCCGATGACCCGAGCCACTTTCACACTCGACGTACCGTCCATATCCACGTCCTTGGCAGTGGGAGAGTGATCGAGGGATTCTGCGAGGTTCTTCACCGTCGCCCCTGACAGACTGTTGATCCCCTCGAGTAGAAAGGCCTCTCGATCGTCCCCCCGGTACTCGTTATGTAGGGTTCTAATCTCGCTGGAGAATATCGTTTCCTTGAGAGCTATGGGTGGTTCGGCCCTGTGGTTTGGGATGTCAAAGTCTATCCCTTGGCTCAAGCCACGCCGGAACCGTTGTGCCTGAGTCAGCCAAGCCAGGTAATCGTCCGAGTGGAAATCGTATCGACCAGATTCCGCCTCGTACGTCACTTCCCCGCTGTGTCGCTTCCAGGCTTCGTTCCCAGTCCCCGTCCCCGGGTTCAGGTGCTTCACCTTCTTTGACCATTCGTCGCTGTATCGCTTGCGGTGATTCTGCATCCGACTGTGGGAGAACACTTCCTTGGCTCCGGCCTCCACTAGCTTCTTCTCCCTGTCGCTCAGCGACAGCTCGGGTGGCGATTCGTCGCACGGCGACGTCGATTCCTCCTCGTTCATCTTCGCGTTCCGATCTCGTTGGGATTCGTCGTTATTGTTCATGCGAGGATGCGGCCTTCGTCGAGGTTTGCAGCGAGGGAATAGCTTATCCAAGGTCGCTTCATCATCCTGGCTATTCAACACATTGGCCATGTTCCCACGGCCATGGGAGTCTGCTAAAAAATACTCTCTTTGGACACCCCACTTTTTTAAAATCCTTATTCACCTGTGAACAGGAAAATAGCGTAAATAAATTAGTTTTACTTCACTGTATAGGATCGAATACGCGAAAGGAAGAAAAGAGCCTGCCTTTAAACACTCCCCCGATGATCTGACACCAATAAATAAAGGCTTTTATTAGGAAAGCTTTGGGGTGATCTCAGCAACAACAAAAAAAGCAGCGCCGACGATCTCCTGATTCTCTTTGCTCTTCTAGCCCACTTCACGGTATTACCTGTTATTTGTAATTCATGATCTTCGGTCTGCACCCCTTTTTGCGTTTACCCCCTCAAGACGGGCCGTAAAACGAAGAGGAATGATGTAGCAAGGATTTACGGGATATTTCCTATGAATTTCCCATTCATCGGAATAACTTCAAAAGTTTCGAATGAGTTTGAAAATATTTTGTTTCCTTCCCCCCCCCCTTCACGCATATTCAAGATCATAGCAGTTGTAGGGCGTGAAATGGCAACTAGCTCGAACAATTTGGCTAGCATTCGTTACATAAGTATAATAACGAGAGGAGCGACTTGATTATTAAAAGCAAAAACTTATGCCAAATTGCATTTATCGTTGAGGTGCATTATCAAAGTCGAACCTAGTGAGTACGATGTATGGTTGGCGATCAATCGTCATGGCGACAGTAGAGCCATCTGGATCCTTTTTTTTGTTTATTAGTCCCATTACACCGATGAGCAAACCTTCCAGTTGTCACGTAACTACTTAACGGTCTATCCGGTCTATCTTCCTTGGGAGTTCAACGAGAGCACGGACGAGCTCAGGCAGTTCGGACCTAAAGATAGTTAACTGAGAATCTTTAAAAGATTATTGTTGGGAAGATGGTATGAGCCTCGTGTATATTACATAGTGGAGGACACTCTTCCGACAGCGAGAATCCAGTTTATGTGTACTCCCATCTAACCACCAGCGTATCGGCCATCTCAGCAAGGACGCTATCTAATCGTAGCCGAGATAAAGTGACAGGCCGCGTGAGTAGCCATGCATGGTAATCTGCGGTGAAATTTTGTTACTTACACCTTCCACAAATAGAAAAGGTGCCATGGTATTCGCAATTAAAAACCAAAGATGGCATCGGGAGACGCACACGGCCTTCACGATCGTACACGAAACGTCAAAGTCCCCCATAAAAAAGGACCATGGCATTACATGTCTTTTGGTATTACAGCTTCCAGAAACTAAAGTTTCCTGAATTATCAAAAGGATTCATCTACGAGTACTATTAAACGCATTAAAGCTCCTCAGTGTTCCGCTCCTATATATCTATACGCTTCAAATGTGGCATGCAAAATATCATCTGATTTGCCTACGCTCGAGGTGGTACGAAAGGAGGAATTTCCTTGGTCATATAATGATAGCTGGCCGAGAAATGTCATGCATCGAGGACGCCTTTACCATAATAAAATCCTCATCAGAAGCTATGCCTCCCTTTAAAACCGAAGTCCAGGATATGAGCAAGACCCGCAGAAGATCAGAGACTACCCTATCGATTTCACAGGGAAACGTACGACAAGAACCTCTGCGTCACACCTCGTAGCCACGAAAGCAAACGTCACGGTGGAAGGAACTGCCGCGAACCGTGTTCAATTGCTTCCACTAACGACGTCACCGAGTGAAGGGAACCGGGCGAGGGACACGTGACCAGACAGCGAGGGACCTTGGGCTCGCACTGGCCCTACTGCACGGCCTCGCAAGAGGGAAAAAGGGACACGGGGTGGAGAAGGGGAGTGATCGTATTGATCCAAACACCCTCTCTCTCATTCTCTCCCCCTCTCACTCGTTTCTCTCTCTTCTCCATCCCTGTTCTCCACCGTTTTCCACAGCCGAATTGGATGCGATTGCATCCATACAAGAGCATCCGATCGAGGGGAGTAAGGATGTAAAATCGCGTGGGGCTAGATAAATGAGCCAGAAAATCCTCCCAGTAACGACTTCAAGCGCTATCCAGCGGAAGAGAAAAGGGATTTTCCCGATGAATTATTGAAATATCCAGGGACAGCCTTCCTCGTACGCTCGTTTCTGACGTCCAAAAGCGGGGGAGGGAAGGGGGAGAAATCCTGGCTATATTGATGAGTCGATGACGCAGTGACTCAGTTCAGAGTACTTTCCAGGGACGCCGGTGCAAGCGAAGCCGGTCGCCATTAAGGACGGATAATCAGCTACAAACAACTGTCATTCCCTGAATTTGACACTTATGATGCCTCTAGCGCCATGTTATTGGTTGGGGGGGGGGGATGGGACGGAACAAATATAGAAGTACAGACGTGCATTGCTAGCCCCCTCTCCAGCTTCTGTTTTGTATACCACCAGCACCAAGGCCTAGATCCAAACGTAGAAGATAGGAAAACGGGGCTGCATGAGCAGCAAAAGACCCTTAATCCGATTAACCGCACTCTGTCTAATCTAATTTTAACCGCTCGAATGTCCTCTAGAAATATAATTGAACAATTATCTCCCACTATCCGAATGTAGTTTGTACAGGGTGGGTCATGAGTAACCCCCAAATTTGAAGCCTGACTTCGGATGTTGAAAAGGCAATACCAGGAGATTTATCAAATCTCTTACAGCAATTGTAGCACTATACAGCAAAAAAATTTAAATTGTATGAGATTTGAAATTTACTCCGTCCGACGAGATGAAGCGATCGAATACCGTGACGTCAATTGCGACCGCGTTTGGCAAAGCACGGCTCGCAAGTCGCCATCGAATTCGGCCTGAGTTCGTCTGTGGGCTTGCGTCTGAGATTTCTCTTAAGATGGATCACTGAGCCCGGAGACACTCCATACAATAGACTGGAAATCAATCACATAAACTTTCTTGTTTCCAGGACTTTTCCTGTTGCGCAGACTTTCTCGATTTTCCCTGGCGACTGCAACAGAGAGCTGCGAGTCCCCTATAGTGCTCTCTTTGACCTTGTCCTTTGACCTTTCATCCTTATTCCCACGAGATATGTTCAAAGAAAAGGGGAACGGAAAGAGGAAAGGGAATCTCAAAAGTGAATATCATGTCCTGTCATGACTGCAAGGACAGGCGCTCTCAAGCAAGTCGACGACTCCGGGGAAGTAGCGCGAATGAGTGCATCTCGTCTTGGAGAATTTGAACATTTCCTAAGATGTTCATGAGGATGTCCCCAACATATTATGACAAGGGACTCGTGCCGAAGAGGACTGACGAACAATATCCTGGTACTTCCTCCCACGCCCCGAATACCACAACGAACAGCCTCACAGCCGTGTTTTTGGAAGTCTCTCGTGTCTTGTCTTCGCAACTTCTTATGAGCGCAAATGGACAAAAGGGATCATGACGAGCCGTACGCATATGTGCTACGTGTCTCGCCCATATTAAATTCTTCGTGCGCAATTTGACGCATGGGGGAGCACGAAGCGCGCAAAATGGGCACTGCCCTAATAAGCAGGCAATTTTCATTTTTGATGTTCCAAACCGGTAAGTCAGGGCGAACCCAAAGGGTTCGTTGAATGGTCTTCTTGCCCTAAGTTTGCATTGCCCTTTCTCTGGCCTTCCCATTGTCCTTTTTTTATTTCTTTGATGTTTCTTTCTTCCCCCCCCCCCCCCCCCCCCCTCCTTTCTTCTTTCATTTATCTTAGCCTTTTTGCGAGCGTTTTGTCTATTTGCTCTTCCTCGCATCTCTGTCTCGTTGCTTTCCGCTATTAAATGCACTCAATCACTCTCGCAAAGACCTCTCAGGGCTCCGTCTCGAGACACCGCAGGTTTGAGCCTTATCGCCGCGGGCTAATTCAGGCCCGACTCCATGATAATGGCGACAAGCGATTTAAATTTCTTAAACGTTTCTAAACGTGGTGGGTCGATCACGTCACAACGCTCGATTGCTTCATCTCATCCGGCAAGGCATATCTCAAATAGTTCACATGTAAAAAAATTTTTTGGCTTATTACCTAATAAACCAATGCTAGCTATTACCTTATTAGCTAATAAACCAAATAATTACTAAAGGATTACATAAATATCTCGCTCTTACAGTTTTCCACATCCACAGTTACAAGGCTCTGAACTTCGCGGGTTACCCGTGCCTCAAAAACCTTGCGACGTCACCGTGGTGCCATCTGTTATACCTTAAAGAAAAGCTTTCTTTCATACTCGCTTAAGGCCACTGAATAAATAATGGACCTTGACATTGTCGAGTTACAGTAGTCTTCGACATGAATGGAATGGGCCATGGAATGTGATCAGGAAACTTTTAACTCAAGAACTTTGCGCATGTCGTCACCTGGGAGTCTCTGGGGGGGGGCGATCGTTATCTGAAACGAAAGTTCTGAGGAAATCCACTCATTCATTTTCTTTTTCAGAAACCGACTCCATCGAAGGGGGATTTCTATCACGGGGTATATCTGTGAGAGGCATCGAGTACTTTCATCACGGCTACGATCCACCGAATGGATCCTCAGTGCTAGGAATCCGTGCGAGAGGAAAAAAAAAAATTCCCGGCCGAACACGGGAATCGAAGCGACTCCATCTTCGGTCCCTCGTACCTCGCGGCGAATCGCATTGAAATTAAAATTCCACGCTCATCCATCATGGGATGAATGCGGGAGGATATCTGACCATCACTTTTTCGACCGCGATTAACGATCGATCGATTAATCACTCGGCATCGGCAGCCCTTGTCATCGATGGGATCCACTCGGGAAACTCAATTTCGGAGCGCTAATTGCGACTTAAATTTAGATCTAATGGCTTACTTAATGTGGCGGCCTTACAGAAAGGTAACCTGTCGATTTTCTTTGACTGCTGTACGACGACAATCTACGTGTTACGTGAAACGTTCGTACATTAATTGATGAAGTGTGGAAAACCATATCCAAGGTTTCAACTTTGACCAGACCTCGTCCGACGCCCATGATGAGATATATTTAATATGTATTTAATGTTCTTCATGCATACTCATGGGGGAAAATTTTTGACAAAATATAACAATACGAAAAATTCCCATCATTCGCCAATTCCTTCAATCAGCGAGTATTTAAATC